ATGAAGATTTCAATAATTGATGGTAAGCATTATTTACATTTCTTTTATTTCTGTGGACTTTGATAGAACTAGAAGTTTGACATACAAGAAATTAATTTACTGTATTTAATGACATATAAAACCTCCCCCAACCCCTCATCCCTGTAAATTGGCATTTAATATTACAGAATTCTGGAGGAAGGTGGCTAGGTATAGAACCAAAGAGGAAGGCTTTTCTGACCCCCCTATAATCTTAACCTATTCAAGTCTGTGGTTAACTGTTGTTTTTCTGAGTCATGGTCAAATGTAAAAGAAATAACAGAATTGTCCAACAAACAGAATTAACAAAGTTTGCAATAAAAAGAAAAAGGGGCAAAAATGAATTAATATCAAGCAAGCAAACAACATATGCAAAAACAACTTCACAGGTTAGAAGGCAAAAAGTTTACAAACCATGAATTGGCGTCTACACACAAAAGCAAGGTTAGACAAGCAAACACAGTGGTCTGTCTTTGAGATAAGGCAGATCTAGATTGAGTCAATCAAATTGTAAACCAACCTATTTTATTAGCTAATGTTTCTGTTTTCTAGTTGTTCTCCATGCAATAACCCCCTTGTCTCTTAGTGGCTTTATTGACTTTTATGGGGTAAACTTGATTAAAAAAAAATATCTATACAACTTGTTGTTAAGGTTCGGTTCCTTGTACCACGGTGATAGTCCAAGGTAGAACCAATAAAGAGGGACTCAAACACAGGTATGGAATAACACTGTTTGTAATATATCTGCTTACAGTCATATAACATTAGTTCTCATATGATCACTGAAGTTAAGCAATGTTGAGCCTGGTCAGTAAAGATAGATGACCACTTGAGAATACCAGGTGCAGTTCTTGGATGTGTGGATGGTGTAATATGCAATTGAAATTGTAATTTCATTTTTTGGTGACAAGTAAACAAAGAGCAATTGCTGAAATCTATTGCATTTTTTTTTTATATGATTAAAAACAAAATGTATCTGGTTTGACAGGTATTATTTTAGGTTTTACTTGAAATTTTTATCCCAAAATCGATTAACCCAATTTGTCATCTCTTTCTTTGGTGACAGGTAAACAAATAGCCATTGCTGAAATCTATTCTTCTTTTTTTTTTTTTTATTGTCATAATGTCAGGAAACAGATTAGAAATATTTTTGTCTCACAATGATGAATGAGATTAAAACTGTATGAATTTGCCTTGTAGCTGAGATAGCTGTGTATTTTCTCACAGGTATCATTGATCAGTGATTAAATTTTGCTCTTGTCAAAATATGGCATCTGTTGCAAAAGTTTATCTCTATCTATAAAAGGCAGGATGTGTGTGTGTGTGTTTGACGAATGCACGGCCGCAATTTTTGATGGATTTGCACCAAAAATTTACATGCACGTGCTCCAAGTTAGCGGGAAGGCCAAGACTGACTTTGCATTTCCCAACTCTCATCGATAGTGGAAATAATCAATTTTTTTCATGCTTCTACGGCAGTTTTCATGTAGTTTGTGGCCATTTTGCACTGGCCAGAGTGAGAACCAATAGCTGGCTGCCATGAATAGACAGGAAGATTCTATTGGCCAGCGTGAGAGCCAACAGCTGATTGATACAAATGTTAACTAGCATGCTAAAAAAAAAATGATAGCTGCATTCGTCACAAGTGGGAAAAATTTAAATCTGCATGGCTGCTTAGAAAAAATTCACAGTGCAAGAAGTAAGGCATGTAGCAACATCAGCTTGGCAAATGGCACTCCTTTAAAGGCAAGGAAGCGCAAAAATATTTTAAGTCAAATGATAGCAATTGCTGTATGAGTCGTACGATTTTTGAATCAAGCACGGGCAATGCTGGGCCATGCTGCTAGTCAAAGTGTAAGTTTGATAATTGATGCCATTCTTTTTTTCAATGACTCTAAGAGCTGTTTTTCATTTTTTTTTTTCTCACTTTTCTGTCAAGTTCATCCCATGCTAATTCTGGGGGTGGTTTCAAACTTTTGAACTGCAGTGTATATATAATTGGAGGTATCTGTGCCAGAATGGTATCAGAAATTTCAAAATCCACCATATTGACATATGGCGGATTTTGAAATTTCTGATACCATTCTGGCTAAGAGATGAAAGACAACAGCAAAAAGCATCAACAAATATTCCTGTTGCTGTCTCAAGATTCTCGCTGTTGCACAATATGTGGACTTGTATAGCAGGTCATGAGTGGGATTGAAGTGTTACATACAACACACATAAAAACTGAATGTTGTCAGATCCTCCTATGTCAAAATTGATGGGAGAGTCCATCAGGCTATATGACGGTTCCGGACTTTGTCAGACTTTGTCCATTTCATAATGTGTGACCTCATTTGTTTACATTTGATACGCCATGAGCAGATATGAATGTACGTGAGAGATTCATGGAAGATTGAAGTTCAAATACAGTAAATTTGACCTTCTAACCGAATGTTCCTTCATGGCCAAATCAATAAAGGCACATCAAGCTAAATGACGGTTCTGTATAGGATACAAGTTCGAATCCTGTCGGAGGACGAATATTTTCTATGAAAATTTCTTGGACATTCAGGCCAGTAAATGTTGTTTAATACTGTTTATTATAAACAGAGCATTTACTTAAATATTTGTATCTATAAAAAGAATGTATAGACATAAAAATGTCTTAAAATAATTGTCGGACTTTGTCCATTTCATAATGTATGACGTCATTTGTTTACATTTGATACGCCATGAACAGATATGAATGTATATGAGAGATTCATGGATGATTTGAAGTTTAAAAACAGTAAATTCAACCTTACTAACCGAATAATCCTCTGTGGCTGAATCGGTTAAAAGGCACGTCAGGCTATAAGACGGTTCCGTATAGGATACAGGTTCAAATCCTGTCAGAGGGCGAATATTTTCTATGAAAATTTCTCAGACATTCAGGCTGGTAAATGTTGTTTAATACTGTTTATAATAAACAGAGCATTTACTTAAATATTTGTATCTATAAAAAGAATGTATAAACATAAAATCTCTTAAAATATATATATATATATATATATTATATAAATGGTGGTACTCATTTGGAAAAACCTCGTATAGCTTGACTTGCAGTAGAACAAATCGGTACCCGAGTAAAAATGGGGAATAAAAAAAGAAAGAACCAAGAACATTAAAACAAGGCAAAAACAATTGTCCAGTGTTTAAGCTCCAAGTCCAAAGAAAAAAAAAAAAACAAAACAAGTAAAAAGACAACTCCTTAAAGTGCTCAATACACTAAGTAGAGCAAAACCTAAGATAATCCTAAGGAGCCAGGCAAACCTACCTAGGTTTCACCTAAATGGATCTTCAGGGTACCCTGATATAAAAATTCAAATAGAACATCAATCGCCATTTTCTGACTTCTTGAACCCTGTTCATTTTTTGTCCTTACCTCAATCCTCCCTATTCTCAGTCTTCTCTTTCTGTCTTGTTTCCTGTAACCCCCTGTGTACTTGTAGCATTCTTGCCTTGCTTGGGGTGAAAAAACCTATCAACGGCATCAACAACTGAAATGGATAGCACATATTACTCAAAGAGAAAATAATGGCATAATCAAGATATTGATATTCCACACTACTTGAAATAAAAGGTTAGGAAGGTAGCCTCCATCTATACTGGAAAGAGCAATAACAGCTACTGGACATGAGAAACGTATTTTCCTGAAAAGGTTAGGAAGGTAGTCTCCATCTATACTGGAAAGAGCGATAACAGCTACTGGACATGAGAAACCTATTTTTCTGAGACGGTTAGGAAGGTAACCTCCATCTATACTGGAAAGAGCGATAACAGCTACTGGACTTGAGAAACCTATTTTTCTGAAAAGGTTAGGAAGGTAGACTCCATCTATACTGGAAAGAGCAATAACAGCTACTGGACCTGAGAAAGTCATTTTCCTTAAAAATTGTTTTAAGAGAAAGATTTTACAAATTTCAGCTGAAAGCATTACTAGTGGCTCAATCAGTGAATGCCAAATATTTCCTTATAGGGAAACAGCTAACAATACCATTACTATCCCACTTAGAAGATTGGTCTGCACAATCTTATTAGACCTATTCTTGTCTATACCAAACTAAACCTAAATAACAGTCAGGTTTGCTTTATGGCTGAGAGAGTTGTGTGTTACCCACCTGTATAGGCAATTAGTATTTGAGCCCATATAAAAACAAAACAAATACTTTTCTAGACAAACAGGATCTTCTTTTATGTACCAGGTCCCTTCAGGACATGGGTGGTCATGGCTCTTCACATCTTCCTATCCATTATAGCACTAAGCATTATTTGACCTCTTACTATCCCTCTATTCATGTTCTGCTGTCCATTTACACAAGTTTTATTAGATTTGTTACTTGATGCTTCTATCTGTCCCTTTTGTCTTCAATGTCCTGTAAGTGTCAGATTCTCCAAGTCCCCTTTCCTCTTTCCGACCATAAGCAAAAGTGTTTTGTTTTTTCATTTGTATTTTCCTTTGTAACTTACATGTTCTATCCCTGGTATTCTCAGCATCCTTCTGTAAAATCACATTTCAGTTGCCTCAAATTTCTTCGTTATCTGTAAGGAGATTGTCTAGCATTTACTGTTATATAGTTTTTTTGATTCATTTTTCTATGGCTTATCAACCATTTTTTAAAGCCAGGAATTTTTTTAGATTTAAATTTTTTTTTTTAATAATTGTTTAGTGATACACGTCTTACTATTTAACCCATAGCTGAGGGTTGAAGAGGTAGATTCATACCTTTCCCAAGGGTATTTGTATGTAAATGAATATAACAAATCCAACTGGAATTGGAACTCAGCTCTCCAATTAACAATTACAAGCCATTATCCAATACACTACCTGTACATTCAAGCTTACAGCACCTGTTATTTCCAAGCGGTCACCAATCTGGGTACTGACCAGGCTCAATGTTGCTTAACTTCTGTAATTGTACAGGAACCAGTATTTCATGTGGCTGTACACAAATGTCATATAGGAGGATTGGTATTACATAACACTTGAGAACTCTTATATTTGTTTCCAATTAAGTTTTTCTATTTCTTAATATTGTGCTTAGTTTTTGGAAGGCATCTTTTGCTATTTCAATACACCTTCAGATTTCAGGGTCACATTATCTATTTTCTGTTATAACACTTCTGAGATAATACAATCTTTCTATTTTCAATTAGTCAAAATGTTTGTCCTTGTAGTTAATTTGAGTAAGCTTAGTAAACAATAGTAGTTTTTTAATATAAACTTCATATATTTAATATTAAACAATTGATCTTGTTAACAAAGAAATATGAATTATTGATTACGGATTTACATTTAATCAGTTCAGACACATGAGAAATTATTGAGGAGGTGTGTGAAAATTCAATGAGAAGAATTTTATTGCTTTATCTATATTCTTTATAAAAATAGTTCTGGGATTCTATCAGGTCTGAATAAATTCACCTGCAAGATGCCATCTGATTAATGGTTTAACCCTTAAACATTCAACCCACCCAAACCTGCCGTGTAAATATCAGTTCTCAATGTTCAACCTGCCCCATATATACTCTGCCATAATATAAGAAGACATCATCACAAATAACACAGGAAGTCATGCAAACATTGAGACTTTGGCCACAAACATTGAGACTTTGGGAGCTGATATTTATCAGGACATGTTTGAATGTGATGAATGCTCAAAGGTCAAACCATGCAGGCAAAAATTTAGAAATTATTTGAGTAAATCAAAAGTATATATATTTTTTTTCCTTGATCGGTTTATTCCAAAACACATTTTTGTGTACAAATCTTAAAAAAAAAACTATGATTTCACTCTAATATTATTATATTAGGGTGCATCAAAGGTATCTCTTTTTTTTATTTTTTTACTTTTTTATTTTACAGATGTTGACTCAATTTCAAGCATGATCACTTCCTTAAATTAACTGTTGCTTGGCTTTTTCATCAGCTCTCAAATGGCTTCCTATAACTGCATTAGTTTTAACAACAAATAAGCAAATGCGACATTCATATTCAGTGTTATTCCTGAGTAGAGCTTGCAGCAGCATATTTCTGCCATGAGAATGAAGATTACTTTTCAAGCTGGAGCATGATTTGGCATTAAATGCACCCACATAGCATGTTAGTTTTACCTGCAGATTAATTTCAGGCAATCCCACCTGTCCATTCTGGCTATAGTGTTTCATATGTTTAACAAAAACGAAACCTTTTCTATAGAGAAGAACCCAACTACAGATTGAACAGATGGGTCTCATGGTAAAAACTGGGTCAGGAATATTCCTCATTTTTCTGGTTGTCTCGTCTGACAGTGTGGATATAAGAATCAACATTGTATGATGCCTGTCAGTTTCATTGTGTTCTTCAGACCTAGTGTTACTTGTTTAGCAGACTGTGTGTGTGTGTGTGTGTGTGTGTATATATATATAAGTTGTGGCATCTAGATCTCTAAAGGATTAACAGAATAGGAAATTGGATTTTTCCAATAGGAATTTGAGTCTCTCTCTCTCTAATAAATGTGTGTGTGTGTGTGTGTATATATATATATATATATGTGTATATGTGTGTGTGCATATGTATGTGTTCCCCATATATATATATATATATATATATATATATATATATATATATATAATAATTATCATCCACAGACTGTTTTACTGTATCACAGCTCATCAGTGTGGCTCGACATCCAATCACTTCAGGCCAGGACCAAATCCCAACTGATTTGGTATCAGTTGAAGATTCCAACCCCTAGGTTATTGACACCCAGCAGAGAAAATTTTTTTTGTATTTATTTTTTCATAAACACACCAGTCACTCAGAGAACTCACTCACTAGGAGGGTCTTGCATTTTCAGCAGCATCAATGGTGACTGTTTACAAATTCATTCTTTACTCCCCACAGTGATATATATATATATATATATATATATATATATATATATATAGTAAGTAGCATAGTAAAAATTCAGGAACCATGCCCATTGTTATTTTTATTCAGGGAAAGATAATGGCTGGGAAAAAATTGCAAAGTCAATAGTGGGAACTCATACACAGTCAGTGTTTTCTGCTATTTGTTTGTCAAATTTATTTTTGTTTCCATTTCACATCATTAATTCATTCTTATTGTGAGGAATGTTTTCGTTTATCCTCTGAAAGTAGAAATACAGTCAAACATCTACATCCAGGGGCTTATCAAAAAGTCTCTCACATGACATGGTTATTAGCTGATTTTTGATCTGATGTTTTCACTGTATAATGTTTGATCTAGGTGGGTAATCTTTCAGCAGTGGCAACAGCAATATAATGGACAAACCCCTACACAACTGTCAACCCACAAATTAAAAAAAAGTTAATTGTAGTGATTATATGAAAAAAATAATGTTTCAACTTGCTCTATCCAGTGGTGTTATTGTGCTCTGTATATCTGTTGTATTTTCCATGGAAATAAGTAGGAGGCATTACTTATAGAGCAACTCTTTGTATATTATTATATATCAATTAGTGTACCTGTGCCATCAAAAATGATGGTAATTGTTACAAAGTTTTAATATTGAGATGCAATGAAACAAGTCTTGAAAAAATTTGAGATTCAATAAAGTGGAAATAAAGAATTCACAACTAAAATAGAAGCCAATGAACTGTTTAATTAATCTGTTCTCTTTATATTTTTAGGTGTTTTATGGTATCTATGATTCATTGATTATTTCTGGTATTATGTAAATAAGTTTTTGCTCAATATCTTTTCACATTTAAAAATTGTGTGTTTAATATAACCATGACTGGAAATATCTCTCAGAAGAAAAAGATTAACAATGTAACAACAAAGATGGCAACAACAAAGCCTATTTCAAGACCAAGTTGAAGATGATCACTTAAGAGACAAAGGTATCTGAGTACCTCACATGAAAGGCTTGAACAAATAAGACAGCAATCTAAGAAAAGTAGGAGTCAAGAAATTGATTAAATGGTTCATTTTGCTCAGAAACTAATTTTGTCTAAATGTAGATAAATATCTTATTTGTATAGATTATTAAAAAAAAACTACAGGAAGTAATAAATTTACTAACTTAAGTTGATTTATCTCGTTCCCATTAAAGATCAGACAGGAAATATATAAATAAATATACATTGATAATTATATAGCTTGATAATATATCTAACTAGATGGCGTTATCACTGGTAATCAAGCTCCTCTTCATCACAGGTGAGGATGCATAACCAATGGTGATGGCTGTGTGTGAAAATAGTGTTTTGTAACTGAAAACTTGCTCTAACAGTGTTAATTGTGCTCTTCTGTATATGTTGTATGTAGTTTCCATGGAAAAAAGCATTGCTAGTCTTTTTACTATTACTATAGTTATTTAGTATTGCAAATCATTACTAGCCATTTTTTTCCGTCCGGTGTAAGACGATAGACTACATCCAACAGCCTCTGATCAGGAGGTTTTGAGGAGCATGGAACCACCTCTTAATTGCTGGTGTTCCTAGGTCCACCCTGACCTGGGGTGCTAGCAAAAAAAAAAAGAATTATTACCAGTAATACATTTTTGAAAGAAAAAAGATATTACCAGCAATACATTTTTAGAAAAAAAAGCAGAAATACTTTGAAAAAATTATTGCCAGCTATACATTTTTGAAGAAAAAGTTATTGCCAGCAATAAATTTTTGAAGAAAAAGTTATTGCCAGCAATAAATTTTTGAAGAAAAAGTTATTGTCAGCGATAAATTTTTGAAAAAAATATTATCAGCGATACATATTTGAAGAAAAACATATTACCAGAAATGGATTTTTTTGAAGGAAAAAATATTACCAGAAATACCAACAATAAAAATTTTTGTCAGCATTAAATAACCTATTGATATGCTGTAAAACAAACCAAACCAAACCTAGTCATTTTCCTATTACTATAGTTATTTAGTATTGCAAGACATTATTAGTCATTTTATTATTGAAATGTATTGCAAGCTAGAAAGAAAGGGATTGTAATGGGTCAGGAATTAATTCAATCATTACTGGATAAATAGGTTATGGCCAAGAAAAACAGAATAATGTTGAATTATTTATTCTGGAAAAGCTTCCTTTGATACTCATCAGCGTTACTTCATCAGATAAAAATATTAAAACTACAAAAAACAAATTGATGGGAACTAGAAACGCTGAACTGGACAACAGCATAAAATAAATAGACAACATATCATGTTTTTTGTATGATTGCCAAAAAACTATGCATGAACTTTTCATTTATTCATATGTTCTACATAAGATTGAAAGAAAATATAAATTCCTTTTGTTGATTTAGCACTGGTTGTTAAGCAGTAATATATATTTCTGTTTGAATTTTGGTGTTGTGGAGTTATTATTCTTTATTTACATGTGGACCATTGTCCTTATCTTTGTTATTATCACCATGTTTCTGCTGTTGGACCGTCTGGCCTTCATCAGGTTTTTGTCACTCTGGATAACCTTCAAGGAAATTTGAACTGAACCCTTTATTTAAGCTATAATTGTTCTGATCTTATTGCTTGTGTCTAGAGGTACTTTATTTAGTTCTTGCTTGCACTGATTTTGCTGGGCCCAAGATTGTGAACACATGATTTTATACACGTCCTGGGTAAGACAATAAACTACATCCAGCAGCAAGGCCTCTGATCAGGAGGTTTTGAGGAGTGTGGAACCACCTCTTAATTGCTGGTGTTCCCAGGTCCACCCTGAACCGGGGTGGTAGCACTTGTTACGGTCCCAGCTATGGGCAAATAGGTAACTATTACCAGCAATACATTTTTGAAAAAATTATTACCAGCAATACAATTTTGAAGGGAAAATATTACCAGAAACAGATTTTTGACAAAAACAAAATATTACCAGCAGTAAAAAATGTTGTCGGCATTAAATAACCCATTGAGGTTGATATGCCCTAAAACAAAATAAACCAAACCAAACCAAACCAAACCAT